ATCCAAATCAGGTGAACGGTGTAGGAATTACACAACAGTTTGCATATGTGCCTCCCACTTGTTAAGGGACCAAAAGTAATGGGACAGAATAATAATCATAAATCAAACTTTCACTTTTTAATACTTGGTTGCAAATCCTTTGCAGTCAATTACAGCCTGAAGTCTGGAACGCATAGACATCACCAGATGCTGGGTTTCATTCCTGGTGATGCTCTGCCAGGCCTCTACTGCAACTGTCTTCAGTTCCTGCTTGTTCTTGGGGCATTTTCCCTTCAGTTTTGTCTTCAGCAAGTGAAATGCATGCTCAATCGGATTCAGGTCAGGTGATTGACTTGGCCATTGCATAACATTCCACTTCTTTTCCTTAAAAAACTCTTTGGTTGCTTTTGCAGTAAGCTTTGGGTCATTGTCCATCTGCACTGTGAAGCGGCGTCCAATGAGTTATGAAGCATTTGGCTGAATATGAGCAGATAATATTGCCCGAAACACTTCAGAATTCATCCTGCTGCTTTTGTCAGCATTCACATCATCAATAAATACAAGAGAACCAGTTCCATTGGCAGCCATACATGCCCACGCCATGACACTACCACCACCATGCTTCACTGATGCGGTGGTATGCTTAGGATCTTGAGCAGTTCCTTTCCTTCTCCATGCTCTTCTCTTCCCATTACTCTGGTACAAGTTGATCTTGGTCTCATCTGTCCATAGGATGTTGTTCCAGAACTGTGAAGGCTTTTTTAGATGTTGTTTGGCAAACTCTAATCTGGCCTTCCTGTTTTTGAGGCTCACCAATGGTTTCCATCTTGTGGTGAACCCTCTGTATTCACTCTGGTGAAGTCTTCTCTTGATTGTTGACTTTGACACACATACACCTACCTCCTGGAGAGTGTTCTTGATCTGGCCAACTGTTGTGAAGGGTGTTTTCTTCACCAGGGAAAGAATTCTTTGGTCATCCACCACAGTTGTTTTCCGTGGTCTTCCGGGTCTTTTGGTGTTGCTGAGCTCACCGGTGCGTTCCTTCTTTTTAAGAATGTTCCAAACAGTTTTTTTTGGCCACGCCTAATGTTTTTGTTATCTCTCTGATGGGGTTTGTTTTGTTTTTTCAGCCTAATGATAGCTTGCTTCACTGATAGTGACAGTTCTTTGGATCTCATCTTGAGAGTTGACAGCAACAGATTCCAAATGCAAATAGCACACTTTAAATTAAATCTGGACCTTTTATCTGCTCAATGTAATTGGGATAATGAAGGAATAACACACACCTGGCCATGGAACAGCTGAGAAGCCAATTGTCCCATTACTTTTGGTCCCTTAACAAGTGGGAGGCACATATGCAAACTGTTGTAATTCCTACACCGTTCACCTGATTTGGATGTAAATACCTTCAAATTAAAGCTGACAGGCTGCAGTTAAAGAACATCTTGTTTGTTTCATTTCAAATCCATTGTGGTGGTGTATAGAGCCAAAAATGTTAGAATTGTGTCGATGTCCCAATATTTATGGACCTGACTGTAGTTCCAGGCATACAATAAATACATTCACTCAGCGGTATGATGCCTGACCTCACAGTTACCAAAGCTAACTCAAAGAGCTAACTATACAGCCAGGTTATTACTTCAAATTTCAACAGAAGCACCTAAACGTTGTGGGCACCTTGTGCAGTTGATGGAGATGATATGAAGGACAGCCAGCTGGTCTTCACTGCAGCTGATTTTGGCATGAAAGCTGAAGCCTCCTTATTTTCTTATAAAATAAGATTTGCTTAAGCTTCTCACCCTAGTACCTAGTTATTGGTCTAGCATGTGTATGTTACCATGTTGGGCATACTTACCTCTTAACTTTCATTTCCAGACACCAGTCCACAGCAGCATACTAAACTCACCCAGTTCATTCCTAGCATTTTAATGGTATGAGCCGTTGTGTTAAAGGCAACACTTCATAGTTTTGCACTGGTCCTGTAAGAAGAATTAGGTGGAACTACAATCACATGGATGCTACCATGGCTTGGCACCGGGAAAGGAAAATTATGAGGTAAGCTTGATACAATTTTCAGGTTTTTCTAGCTTTAGATGAAGAGATTTCCCCTCACTCTGTAAAACATTGTCAGCAGGACAGAAATTGAGGAGAAATCTCTCTAACAGAGACTTGGATAGCAGTGAAAACCAGACACATGTTTTTATCCTTCTCCACACCATCCAAAACCATGAAAAAGCTTTGTCTGAACATACAATTTAGGTTTAATTACACTATTGTCCCAACTGACACTGCCAGGTGCCGCGCAGAGAGAGATAGCTGGGGAGCCACACCAAAATTTTACTTTAAGGCCCCATGAATTATAGTTAAGTCCCTGCTTGTGGGCCCCATTAAAGAGGTTTCCTCTTGCTTTCTTGCTCAGTGAGCAGCTTTACCAGGAAATCCTTCTAAGTAGTGACACAGGCTGCAAAAAAACATAGACAGAGGTTTTATTCCTTTCTGCAATACAGAGCCTGATGCCTAGATGAGGAACTAGCAGGTTAATATTCATGTGCCTAAGGCAGCTTCTGTTCCCTTAAAGCAGTATTAAACCCAAAAACAAAAAATTATAAATTGCAGCTTACCAAATTTTTGGGAGGGAACCTTGAAGGTTACGTTCTTTGAATACAATGCAGTGTTCTTGGAGAAATAACTGGAGGGCAGGCTAGCCTGGGTTTTACTCCAGATTTGTGAGAATGTCTGAAATCATATTGGTGGCATCAGGCATGTCCAAGAAAAAAGAGCCATAAACACAAAAATAACAGACACTTCGGTGAACAAATGGGGCCAGTTATTGCATGCAAACTCAGCCCAGAGAAAAACAGAGGACCATTTCAGTCGACTGTCAGAAAAAAAACAACTTGAGGTAATTCTCAGTCTGATCAATGGTTTGAAGGTGATAAGCAGGCAAGAAGGACAGACGGTTGCCAGTGACAGAGCAGAAAGCTTTCCAAAACTTGGATACAAATTGTATGCATCTTTCCGAGACAATGTCCTAGGGCACACAGTGGATCTCACAATACATATAAAATAGCCAGCAATTTAGAAGAGAAGGCAAGAGTACAAAATGAGCAACTTTACTAAAGCCATACAAAGTGACCCAAATGACTGTGTGCCAGCTTGAGAGAGAAAGGTCTAAAATGAAGTCCATTGTCAAATGAGTCCAAAATGGTTTGGACATATAGGTTTGGAGTGGGCGCAGGTCTCACAGGCCTTCATATAGATATGAATATCCTTGCAGAGTTTAGGCTACCAGAGATTATGAGAAACCAAAGAAAGGGTTTTGATGATACCTGGATGTCCAGCTAACTTGGTGTCATTAGCTTCTACTAGAGTACTAGAGCCTTGAGCCTGAGGTGGAGTGGAACAAATAAGAGTGGAGTAGAAGGAGTGCAGGGCTGTGCTTCAGATAATGAACCAGACAGATCAGGAAAAAGGAAGATAGGAGGAAAAAATGAGTAGAAGGCAAAATGCTGTGAATCCCAAAGGACTTCTTAGAACAAAGCTCAAAGCTGCACGAGTGGGAATCTGCTTTGGAGTTCTTAGAGCCTGAGCAGTAGGTAATGGTAAAGTTGAAGGACGCAAAAAACAGGGACCAACAAGTATGTAAAGAATGAATGTGTTTAGCTGACTGAATATTTCAGAGGTTCTTTTGTCCACTATAGGGCTCAAAATGGATGATGTACCTCCTCCAGCCAAAGGCTACATTCCTCCAAGGCCCATTTGGCGGCCAAAAATTCAAAATTCCCAATAACACAGTTTAATAACTCTGCACTAGAAAACATTCAGAAAAAAATAGACACAGGGGTGTAACTGATTCAAATAGGGGGATTGCTGGGAGAGAACTGTTCCAACACCAACATTTGAGGTGTTGACGTCCTCAAAGTTGAGCAAGGAAGGGTCAGAAAGAGTCAGATCCAGGGCAAAAATAAAAGCAGATTTGAGTTTCTGAAAGCAGAGATGGCCTTAGGGGGGCAAAGAGTAGGATTAGCCCCTTTTTGTTTGTATGAGTGGTGATTTGCACTAGTATGGTGGAAAAGTGTTTTGTGTGGCTGCTGAGTAGTCTGAGTATGAAGGGAGGCTTGGCAGACAGTGACCCGCTGCCTAGCAACATTGCCCAACAATGAAGATACAAGCAGCTGAGCAGCAGTGGCAGAGGTAGAAGTCTCAGACTGACTCACTCTTGATAACACTTTTTGTTTCTCTCCAAACCAAACAATTCAAAAAATAAATAAATAATAAACTGGAGGCCCACTTTAACATGTCTTTTTGATTTTTATCCAAGCCCACTAATTAATGAAGGGTGAGCTCTCTGGTCACCACACAGGCAGCAAACGTAATATTACAAGGCATAGATGTAATTAATACTTTTGAGATTTACATTATATTGCCAAAAGTATTGGGACACCTGCCTTTACACACAGATGAACTTTAATGGCATCCCAGTCTTAGTCCGTACGGTTCAATATTGAGTTGGCCCACCCTTTGCAGCTATAACAGCTTCAACTCTTCTGGGAAGGCTGTCCACAAGGTTTAGGAGTGTGTCTATGGGAATGTTTGACCATTCTTCCAGAAGACCATGACCATTTGTGAGGTCAGACACTGATGTCGGACAAGAAGGCCTGGTTTGCAGTCTCCGCTCTAATTTATGCCAGCTGTTCTATTGGGTAGAGGTCAGGATGTGCTCATCTATGTCTTTATGGACCTTGCTTTGTGCACTGGTGCGCAGTCATGTTGGAACAGGAAGGGCCCATCCCCAAACTGTTCCCACAAAGTTGGGAGCATGAAATTTTCCTAAATGTCTTGGTATGCTGATGCCTTAAGAGTTTCCTTCACAGGAACTAAGGGGCCAAGCCCAATCCTTGAAAAATAACCCCACACCATAATCCTTCATTATCCTGGCAACTGCCAAACCCAGACACGTCCAACAGACAGATGAAGCATCATTCGTCACTCCAGAGAACACGTTCCCACTGCTCTAGAGTCCAGTGGTAGCGTGCGTTACACCACTGCATCTGATGCTTTGCATTGCACTTGGCAATGTAAGACTTGGATGCAGCTGCTCAGCCATGGAAACCCATTCCATGAATCTCTCTACGCACTACTGTTGTACTAATCTGGAGGCCACAAGAAATTTGGAGGTCTTTAGTTACTGACTCTGCAGACAGTTGGCAACTTCTGCACACTGTGTGTTTCAGCATGCACTCACCCCACTCATTTTACGTGGCCTACCACTTCGTGGCTGATTTTCTGTTGTTCCCAGTTGCTTCCACTTTATTATAGTACTACTAACAGTTGACCGTGGAATATTTAGTAACAAGGAAATTTCACAGATGGACTTATTGCAGAGGTGGCAACCTATCACGATGCCATGCTTTAATTCACTGAGCTCTTGAGAGCAACTCATCCTTTCACAAATGTTTGTAGAAGCAGTCTGCATGCCTAGGTGCTTAATTTTATACACCTGTGGCCATGGAGGTGATTATAACACTTGAATCCAATAATGTGGAGGGGTACCCCAATACTTTTGGCAGTATAGTGTATGTGTTATTATTGTTGCTTGTTGCCAAGCAGGAGATTGATGCATGGAGTGCTGTACTGGTGCAAGCATTAGACAGAGAACTGTAGACAGACCCCTGTGGCATTAAGCAAACATTGCCTACTGAGCATAATGGATATTGCAGACCATATAACACAATGGGTAATGGTGCAGTTCAGTTCACAAAACTCATTAGCTCTTCATCTTATCTTACAGAATTACATATCCAAAAGAGGTGGCAATGTCCTTTAAATAACTGATTTATCCTTTATTATTAATTGAACCAGTTCACCTACATCTGAATTGCCAAGCATTTTCTGGTCTCTTCTAGAAATGGTCTGGTTGTAACAGCTACCTGCCTACTTATAGGTTAAAAAATATATTAAACTTCATTATCCAGACTTTCAATGGATCTAAAAATGCAACAGTTCTAACTGTATTGCATCCCCTACTGCAATCCTGCTGTGAATCTTTATAAACTTGTCCCTGTCCCACCACAATTTTGCTGTCTCAAAGAAATGGCAAGTGTAGCTCAGCAGTATTCGAAATACTAAAATATTAATGCATTATTTATAGCATCCCACATAACTATGCAAAATAAGCAAAAAAAATCCCATTGCATAAGAAACATTAATGCATATTTGATCATCAAGATTTTACCATCATTTTATTTAGCTTTCCTGCACTACAGTAACAGTAGTTAGAATGTTTCTTCTCAGGGGTAAATAAACATCCTCAAACCAGGCTTCTGAATATCTAAAATCCCTTCAAATTGAAGATTACAAGAGAGCATAAGACCACAGTGGACTCATATTCAACAAATTTAATTGGCAAGGCAGTGGTAATGCAGTGATAGGCAAAAGAGAGATAGCATAGACAAGTGAATACATAATAAAACTTCAGATTTTCCAATTGCAGATATATAGAAAAATGTTTACTACTCAGAGACATTATGCTTTTAGAACACACACTGTAGAATAAAGCTAGCCATACAGTGTTCAGCAGGCTGAACGAACAAAAGATGAACCGATTTCCCCAGTCCCCAGCCCCCCAGCTATTGTATTCTGACTGCAAGGAGACTCCCCCTCAAGTGGCTTTTATCCGTCAGGGTGGTTGAACAGAAGTCAATCTGTAGATCGACTTCTGTTTAACTGCAGTGGTCACACATTGAAAGTCGGCCAATCGTTGCTGATCATTGGGTCAAAAAATCTCAGATTGATAAACCCCTGTGTTCTTGAACTTGGGCTACAACAATCAAGCTGTTAAAGCCAGTGACTGAGAAGCAAGATGGTGGACCAACCCCTATGACATAAGTTCTGACCGATCTAGCACGACCAAGTACCATGTTTTCCTGGGCCAATATGGATTACCAGATTGCCCTCCCTCTCGATCCAATGAAGCAAACAAGGAAGAAGCTTTAGTGAGGAAAAAAGCATAGATCAAGTTTACCTGATCCCATTGAATCATCAGGGAATCTGCTATGAAGGCTTAAGTATCCCTAGTCCTGGTGACAAACCTGTCCAGCTTGTTGTTGAACCTGGATGCCAGAAGAGCCATGTTTGGTACACCCCATCTATGACATAAGTCTTCAAACACCTCTGGGTGAAGAGACCATTCTCCTTGAACCAGATGCTGGTGACCGAGAAAGTCCACCTGCCAGTTTTTCATGTCTGGAATTGCAGTACATACACTACCTGTATGTAATGCTAGAACAAGGTCTATTTAATTTTGAACTATGCAACTTCTAAGTGCCCCCTTGATGGTTGATGTAAGCCACAGTCATGTCACTGTCAGAGTGATTCCTGGTCAAATGGCCTTGTAGGTAAAAAGTCCAGTGTTGACGGGGCAATCAAATTTCCCTGAGTTCCAGGATGTTGATCAGGAGCCAGGCTTATACTGGCAACCAAGTCCCTTGTACATCTTCCAAGACATCAGGAGATTCAGGCGCTGGAATGGAATCCCACCATATAAGACCAAGCCTGGTTTGCTGGTCAGGAGCATAGGACAATCAAATGATTGATTCTGCTTGTCAGCCATACAACCAGAATGTTGAGTTACAATGGTCTGGAGTGAAACTAGGCATATGATACTGCCTCAAAGGAAGCTACCATCAAACCGAATACCCTCATGTAAAATCAAAGACCCCCTGCAAAAAAGAAAACCTGCTCTAGAGCAGTATGCAGATATGCCTGCCTCTATGGAGAGGATGGCAAGTTTAACAGCATGAAATGGAATAGAGGCAAGGACCAGAACATTATCTTGTAGCCCCAGGAGACATCGTTCTGGACTCAGATGTCTGAAATGTCCTATGCCCAGACAGCCGCAAAAGCTAATTTTGACAAGGGGGGAGGGGGGTTCTCCTGCATCTTCAGGAGTGCAGATTTGTTTGTAGGGGCTTTGTCCTCTTCTTCTGAGGTAATAGAGTACTCTTCCATCCTGTGAAATCCTTGATATAAGTGTAAAAGCTGTCACCAATACATATTGTTCTTCATAGGGCCTTCTTTTTGCAGGGATGCTCCTCAGACTAGCACTTGACCCAAAGGATTCTTCAAATATGCCTCAAAATCAGGCTAATCTTGGAAATTTGGTGGAGAGTGTCCGCTAACCCATCCACACTGTAGCGTAAAGCAGCATGCAAAAACTCCAGCTTATGGAAGACAGATGGATTTATAAGACTGGACCCAGAGTCTTGGCCCGTGCCTTTGGGCAAAACAGCTAAGGTCTGAGAAACTGATATGGTTGCATAGCAGGGCCAGCCAGAGAAACATGGTCTTAAGGAGGGTTTCTAATGGCTTATCCACAGAGTTCTTCAACATTTAGACATACTCAATAGAAATATTAAAGGTTTTGTTAAGGCTGGGTCCTCAAAGGGACATCCATTTTTTCAGGAAGCCCTCCTCAATGAGGTATTGCTGAGAAATATACTTGCGAGGAACAACATTTTCCCCAGATAAAGCCAGTCACCATAAAATACAGGCTCCTGGTGGCAAGTGTACAGGGAATGATTTGGCCAGCTAAGACCCCTTTAAAGAACTCAGATTGGTGACCTTTGGCTGGATTGTCATAGACTGCTCCAAGACAAGAAAGGAGTATAGTGCATCAATAATGACAGAAATAATATCCATTAACTAAGGAGAGATATCAGTGGACTGGGTATCCACCTGAGGGGAGTCCTCTGAGTCAGAAATGGAGCCATCCTCCTCCTTCTCTTCAGAGAGCACAAAAGACACAAGAAGAGAATGGACTCTGGAGGAGGGGCAGAGGGAGACGACTTGTGTCCCCTGCAACTGCATGCCTCTAACAGGGCAGACAGCCTTTACTTAAAAACAGACATAGTGTCTGAGAATTCCTATCTGGAAAGACAGGAGGAAGGGGGTGCACCAGAAGGAGCTAGAGAGGCCTCCGAGGAGGGTAGTAAATCAGTAGTCAGGACTATCAGAGTCAGGAACACTTGGAGAGATGCAGCAGATCCTTTTCCCCCTCTAGCTGTTAGGTGAGTGTAAGCTAGCAGAACCCACTAACCTGCTCCCCTGCACCTACAATTTGCCATTGAAGTGAAGAAAAAACACCCCACAAGGGTTCACAGGCGACCTGTACTATAAAACAAGAAGATGGTTTGCCTTCTATGTCCAGACACTGTAGTCAGAAAAAAACCCAGAACATCTAAAGATTGTTGTGTTGTGCAACCAAGAGTAAGCAGGGAGTGAATGTGTCAGCCAACTGAGTGGACAAGAGACTAAAATGGCAATAGGTCTGTGCAGTAAGTCCCTGTTGGACTGAGGCTGTTGGGGGAGCAGTTTCCCACAAACTTACACAAGAGTGCAGGAACAATGTAATAATGGAGTCAAATTTAAATAGGGCAGAGGCTAAATATCCCCCCCCACAGACAGGGTGAAAATCACTCTGATTTAGGACCAGTTCACACCATGCTTGCATATAAATTGCACAGGAACATGATGCAAAATGTACTCTATTTGCGATCTGCAGTGGGCATTTTAAAAAGTAGTACATGCACTACCTTTGGTGCAGTGCGGTGCAGTGCAATTTAACCCATTCAAAATGAATGGCCTGAAATTGCACTGCACAGAACCACATATACGTTGCACAGGAATGCACAGCATGGTGTGAACAGGCATTCACTGTGGTTTGGTGTTTGCAGTTATGAATGTATGTATACACTATTTTGTAGGCTGAACTTTAAGCACTTGTAGTGCTCACCCCTGAAGGAGCTGCTGGAATATTGCAGGCAGCCAGGCAAGCAATTACTCCAATTGGCTCAATGAATTAGGACAGTCTAGGACAGGGTTTCTGATCTAGGGTTCCTCCAGAGGTTGCTAGGGATTCCTTGAGAAATGAGATTTTTTTTTCCTCTCAAATAAGTTCCCACTGATACCTTTGGTCCTTTTGGCAATCTGTAAGGGAGAATCCTTTCCAATGACCACAAGCGTAAGGAACATTCTTCCACTGACCATCACACTAATGTATCATGACATGTACTGTAGATGTGTTAATTTTTAGCAGGGGTTCCCTGAGAATAGAAAGTTATGTTAAAGGTTCCTCTGTGTCGAAAAAGGTTGAGAAAAGCTGGTCTAGGGGTATCTTTTTGTGGTTTTATTTCAGGTGACTTCGATGGGGAGTAGGGTAATATGGGATACTCCAGACCTATGTAAAAATAGGAGGACACTTCACTATAGCTGAACTTCAGAAACAAATATCTTCTGCCAGACTTAGAATAAACTGTGAAAGATTAAAAGAACGGTTCTCCCACAATGACACTGAAAGGGTTGACTTTATGATACTCTTAGAAGAGAAGCTACTTGGCACAAGCTTGGCAATCTTTCACAAACAAGAGGGGGCTGGTTGGTATGTACCTCTCACGAGAGGAACTACAGATCCCAGCAATCCCA